AAAAAAAAAAAAAAAAAAAAAAAAAAAAAAAAAAAAAAAAAAAAAAAATGTATATAAAAAGACCCTAAACCCTAGAAATACGAAACCCTAGGAAGGGGGGGAAAAAAGGAGAGATAAAATAATTAAGCTCTGCAGGGTACTGTTGCTGCTGCTGCTGCTGCTGTTGCTGTTGCTGCTGTTGCTGCTGTTGCTGTTGCTGCTGCAGTTGCAGTCGTAAAAAGCTGCTGCTGTATGAGCTTCTGCTGCTGCTGCTGCTGCACCTGCTGCTTCTGCTGCAGCGGGGGAGGCAGGGAGGCCCCTATGCTGCTGTTGCTGCTGCTGTTGAGTTACTTGCTGCTGTCTGATGGGAGGCGCTACAGAGAGAAGAATGAGTGCTGCAGCAGCGCAGCAGCAGCAGCAGCAACAGCAGCAACAGCAACAGCAACAGCAGCAGCAAGAGATGCAGCAACCAAGAGAGCGACTCCCTATAAATCTACTTCCCTCTCCTTTCCTCTTAATTAGAAGACAAATATTTTTATAAAAAAGGGTTTAGGGTTTAGGGTTTAGGGTTTAGATTGTTGCACAGGCGGCTGTGGGGCCCCAGCCCCGATCAGCCAACGGCTCATGACTCGCTGTAGCCCAAACCCTAAACCCTAAACTCTAAACCCTAAACCCTAAAATATATTTTTTTTAATGAATTGAGGATAAAATATCCTTTTATAGTTAGAAGAAAAGCAACAAAAGATGCTGATACCTCTACAGACACCTCAAACCCTAGCTCGCCGTCAAACCCTAAACCCTAAACCCTAAACCCTCTAGTGTACTAATCAGTTAACCACTATATAGTTAACAAGGGGAGATATAAGAAAGTGTTTGGGGGTCTATTATAAACCCTAAACCCTGCAGCTCAAAGACCGAAGGTGTATTAGTGTTTAGGGTTTAGGGTTTAGTAAACCGTCAAACCCTAAGACAAGAAACCCAACCTTAAAAGAAACACTGCATGCGGCTTAAGAAGAAACCAGGGGCCCCCCTCCTTTCTGAGGGGCCCCCTAAACCCTAGGGGGCCCCCTAAACCCTAGGAGGCCCCCTGAACCCTGGGGCCCGTAGGACCACGCAACACCCTTAGGTACAATTGCACAGGAATTAGGGTTTAGGGTTTAGGGATCTTTCTTTAGCTGCTCGTGCTGAGGCATGTGGGGCCCCGAGAGGGGCCCCCCAAGGGCCCCCTTATGTGTGTCTACTGGGGCCCCTGTCTGTGGGGGTTTGTAGCAGACACCTAAACCATAGTTAAGAGTTTGCTGCTGCACTGCAGCAGCTGAAGCAGCTGGTGCTGCTGCTGCTGCTGCTGCTGCTGCTGCTGTATTCTCTTTTCCTGCTGCTGATGCCCCATACACCCCAAGAGACCCAGAACCTTGGTTATAGACATACCTTAGTTTGTCTGGCTCCGTCCTCCGTGGCGTGCTGCTGCTGTTGCTGCTGCTGCTGCTGCTGCTGATACTGCTGCTGCATATACTGCTGCAGTTGCTGCTGCCGTTGGTAGTGTCATTGCTGCTGAGGCTAGTAGCACCACCAGGCGCAGCAGCAGCAGCTGCTGCAGCATTCCCAGGACGAGGCGCATTAGTAGAAGCAGCAGGAGCACCAGCACCAGGAGCAGCAGCAGCAGCAGCAGGAGCAGCAGCAGCAGCAGCAGCAAGTCCCCTATTAACAACATATTTAAATTGTCTTAATTGTACCCTTAGGTAGGCAATTTCTTCTTTTGCTTCTTTTAGTCCCTTATACAATACACGGCATTGTTGGCACCCTGTAGGTATATATACAAATTGTCTATGATGGGGGGCCCCTATAGGGGGGCCCCCAGATGTAGAGGGGCCCCCTGTAGAGGAACCCTCTTCTGTATATTCATCATGTACACACGAACCTGCTGCTCCTCCTGCATCACCTGATACAGCTCCTGCTGCTGTTGCTGCTGCTGCTGCTGCTGCTGCAGGTTCAAGTTCCTTCCTTGGCCTTTTATATTTGGATTTATGGGGGCCCCCTTGATGGGGCCCCCCATGTAGGGACCCGTGGGGCCCCTGGGGGCCCCCAGTCTCCTGTGCAATAGGTATTTTGCTAGCATCCTTAGCAAATGCTAATGTTGCTGCTGTTTGTCTATAAAAGGAGACACCTGGTAAACAGAGACAGATGACGGATGTCTTAGAGGGGCCCCCTAGGCAATCACTAAGGAGACGGGTAAGCTTCGAGTCCCTTATACCTAGGAAAGGGGGACCAGCAGCAGCAGCAGCAGCAGCAGCAGCAGCAGGTGCTGCTGCTCCTGATGCTCCTGCTGTTGCTCCTGTTGCTCCTGTTGCTCCTGTTGCTGCTGCACTAGACCCAGCAGCACGACGATGGGTACCCACAGGGGTAGGGGCCCCGTCTGTATCCATAGATGAGCCAGTAGGAACCCCAGTATCGTGCTGCTGCTCCTGCTGCTGCTGTTGCTGCTGCTGCTGCTGCTTCTGCTGCTGTGTTAGGGCCTTTACTACCCTAGATAGAGCAAGGAGACTCCTATTTATGCTGCCACCTTCTCTTTGGGTTATGGGGGCCCCCTTTACCCCTTGGGGGCCCCCCGTTACCCCTTTGGGGCCCCCTGCACTCTCTGACCCTGCTAGGTCTACCAAGCTTAACACAGAAGTACGACGGGGACCCCGAGGGGGGGCCCCTGTACTGCTGCTGTCCTTGGGGGGCCCCTCTCCCGAGGCAACCCCACTGGATACGCCTGCTGCTGCTGCTGCTGCTGTTCCTGCTGCTGCTGCTGCTGTATGGGTAAGGACGATCCGCAGCACTGCATGGGAACGAGAGGAACGGGCATTTGCTGCTGTTGCTGCTGCATGCCTTTGCTGCTGTCCCCTTTGTACAAGAGACAGGGCCTCCGTTAAGGAGGAGACAGGGAAGGAGGAGAGAGACCCTAAATCTAGTGTCCCTATAGTAACAAATCACACAAACCCTAAACCCTAAACCCTAAACACTAAACACTAAACCCTAAACCCTAAACGCCAAACGCCAAACCGTAAACCCTAAACACCAAACCCTTAACCCTAAACCCTAAACACTGGGACCTAACATGAATTCCTCAGCATTGTGTTAAGGAGACACTTCAACAACACTATCTAGGGTTTATAAATTAGGGTTTAGGGTTTAGGGTTTAGGGTTTACTGTGCCGCCGCCTACCGTCAGCTCTTTCGCAGAGAGAGATGGCCCTTTTAGGCCTTGCATCTGCTGCTGCAGAAGGGGGCCCCCCAGGGGTACCCACTCCTCCTAGGGGCCCCCCATGGGGGCCCCCCTGCAGCAGATCCGTAACTGTCTCCTGGTATACTTCTAGCATAGATACGGAGACAGTAAAAGTGTCTCCTTCTCTTCTTGTCTCCTTTTCCTTAAATATGTCTCCTAATGCCATTTCTATTACTCCTTTCTCCTCTTCCTTGCGGGGGCCCTGTAGGGGCCCCCCGCCCTTGGTGGGGGCCCCCTTCTGGAGGCCACCCGCCACCTTGCTCGGGGCCCTTGTGGGGGGCCCCTGGGGGCCCCCCCCAAACATTGTATGGGTCTTACCACTAGCTGTTTGCCCATAAGCAAGGACGGCAGCATTATAACCATGGAGAGCAGCAGCAACACAATCCTTAACGAGGTGTACGTACACCTCAGCATTAGTAGACCCTGGAGGTAATAAACAATCCGCCTCATAGCATACATCTTTATATCCATCCCATACCCTTGGGGGGCCCCCAGGATGGGTACAGTTATCCGAAACGGAGGGGGCCCCATCCACCTGAGGGGCCCCCCCATTTAGGGGGCCCCCCATGTCTAATGCCCATGGTGCTGCTAATACCCAACCATCAGATTCTTCTTCTCTTAGGGCCCAATTACTATCTTGTGGGCCCTTACGGGCCCAAGGGGGCCTCCTTACAACTTTGGGGGGCCCCTTAGGAGGGGGCCCCCCAGTCAGAGTACTTAAAGAAGATGTGGAAGAGGGGCCCCCCCCAGTGACGGAACTTAAAGAAGAAGTGGAGGCGCCCCCTCCAGGGAGGGTACCTAATGAAGATGTGGAGGAGAGGGCCCCTGAGGGGGCCCCTTGGGGGGCCCCTGTACCCTCTCCTGGTGAGGCATCGGCACTGTCTGAAGCTCTGCATACACCAGAGGTAGGAGACACAGCAGCAGCATCCTCTGGGGCCCCCTCAGCTAAGGGGACCCCTGAAGAGCCACCAGAGGGGCCTCCTGAGTGGCCCCCTTGGTGGGGGCCCCCTTGGGGGCCCCTAGAAGGGGAGAGCAGATGACGACGAGGGACAGTAGGAGACAGTACAGGAGGACGGAAACGAACTCCTACTAGGACCTGGCGATTTAAAAATCTGCTGCTGAAGCTGCTGCTGCAGAAGCTGCTGCTGCTGCTGCTGCTGCTGTCATAGTTGCTGCCGTTGTTGTTGTTGCTGCTGCTACTGTTGCTGCTGCTGCTGTTGGGGGGCCCCGAGGGATGTGCAGCAACAGCCTGTTGCTGAGAGGGGACACCCGTTGAGGGGGGCCCCTCGGACTCAACTTTCATACTAAAACCCTAAACCCTAAACCCTAAACACTTCGAGCTAAACCCTGAGGGGCCCCAGGGTGTTAAGGGTCTGGGGTGCCCATGTCTTGTTGTATAGGACGCCAAGAGTTGAAAGTTGAGGCGCAGATATGTGTAGTTAGGGTTTAGGGTTTAGGGTTTAGTGTTTAGGGTTTAGGGTTTGGGGCTGTCGGCAGTAGGGGGGAAAGGGTTTATTTAAGGGGAGCAGCAAACCCCCTAAAAGAGTTCTAATTGTAAAGTTATTAGATTAGGGTTTATTATTTTTATGTTAATAAATAATAATTTAGGGTTTAGGGTTTAGGGTTTAGGGTTTAGAGCCTCCGTAAAGGAATGGGGCCGGTGGGGTTGGTGTTTATAATGGTGTTTATAAACCCTCAATAGTATCCTCAGGCGTATACTCCAATTAGTTAATACAATCTTTAGGCAAAACACC